AGTAATAAGAGTTTATACTATACTTGTTTGACATACCATTAGTAGATCTTCTAACCTTGACATATGTTGTTATCATTGCTAATCTTTTGGTTGTGTTAGTGGAAGATTAATGCTTTAAAATATAATATACTTTCGAAAGTTGCATAATATGTTCTGGCTATTCCTATATTCACAGTGGCTTTTGAATCAGCCTTTAGCACGAGCGATCGTATACTCAACCAATTTTGATGTTCTCTATCTCCAGCAATAATTCAAGCACTTATTTGTTATCAAAATTATTTGCATAATGGTCCCTTTCCAACTGATAATACAATCTTGATGAATGATTTTGAAACTTACAAAAATCTTGAATCAGGTAATGTATCTTAAAAACTAACACCTTTTATATTATGATTTATTAATTAACACATTTTTATTCTAACATGTTTAATATTTTATTTTGTAGAATTTGGTAGAAAGTTGCATTTAGCAACGAATGATAATTAATTCAGAAATTGTGATGCATTTATTGAAAATGTATGATATAAATATCTTTTTTTATTTTTATGTCTTCTGATTTAATTTATTATGTTATAATTCTAGATTATGAATTTTAGAAATCAAAGTGCAATGTTCTTGAAGTGCTTTTTTATTGAGACGATGTGCACATGAAGATTTATTTTTTTGTGGCTTGGAGTGTTTATGATAATATTATTTGTTGTTTTTTTCATTAAGACCTTTGAAGACAATGGTTTGTAATTTGGATGTTAACTTATTGGTGTGTGATTGTGAGTGTGTGTTATTTATTTAAATTTTTCAGAGGTAGAAAAATATTAGTAAGTTAAAAAATATATTGAACACAAGATTGATATTAATAATTTCATATGAATGAATATTCAATGGCCAAAAAATTTAATAAACATAAGATTGACAATAACAATTTAATACAATTGAATATTTAGGGGTAAAAAAATTAAATATATTCGGAATCTAAATTTAATAAACATGAGATTAACAATAACAATTTAATACAATTCAATATTTAAAGGTAAAAAAATTAAATATATTTGGAATCTTTAAAGAAAATGAGATAATATCAACATTAATTGTAGGCCTAACAAAAATCCATTAGAAGCCCATTACAAAGCCCATTACAAAGCCAAAAAAGCCCAAAATGTATATAGGTTTGTTTGGTTTTTTGGATAAAACACAGGACCGGAACTAGCGGTCGGTTCCGGTTCGGTTTTAGGTCTTTTTTTTTTGTTTTGGTTGTTTTTTCATGTAAAAACCGAACCAAACCAAAAATAATCACCTCTAATTTGTAGTTTGAACAAACCTTGTTAGCATTAAATGCAATCTTTATATGGATAATGCAAGTGATGTCACTGATAATTTAAATGTTTGAATAGCCTTTTTAATTCCCAAGTAGTAACACTTGGCCATAAATTGGAGATACTTTATCTTGGTCTCTCTCTCTCTTATAATATGTCATATTATACATATCATTTGATAAAAAAATTCAAGTGAAATTTTATTTGTTTTAGACAAATCTTCTATGAAAAAACAATGTAGCAGGATAGCTTTATTTCCCAGCGAATGAATATTATATAGATCATTAATTATGGATAAAGCCTTCTCAAATATGATATAAAATTCAGAAGTCATAGCTATACACATTTTTGAGATATAACTTAAGATAGATATTGTCAAACTAACTTCACATACACAGTCCTTAATTGCAAGAATAATGCCCTAAAAATCATTAAAGTTGACTTTGCTTTAAGAAATGCCATGCAAAGTTCATTAGTTATAGAATCAAAGTTATTGGAAGCAATTTCTAAGCTTTAAATTGTTTTGTGCTTTCAAGTAAGCTTGTTACCATGTCCTACCATTACCATGACTTATTGTTGGCATTTAATAAACCATATATCTCGATGGTTTAATATCTAATGCCTAACATCTTAAAGCAATTATTATCACCTTATTTGATGGTTATGGAACACAAGTGGAATTTTTAATGTTTTGGTTAAAATATCTCTCGTTGTATTGGCTTTTGATGGAAACTCTAACACTTAAGCCTAGTTATGTAATGCACTAGTTATAATATGATTCAGTTTCATCTTTTGCATAATTAAAGAATATGTTTGGATTTTTGTTAAGGCATATTAGATTTTATGATCCAACTTGATTATAAGTTAAAAAGCATTCGTATTCATATCTTGTTAATGCTTTTATAATATCCCTATAATTTTAAGTTGAATGTTTAGAACCCTTCATCAACACACCAAAGTTCTTAATAAAGTAGTTGTCTTAGAATAAAAAAGAACCTTACATTTAATATCCTGAAACAATATGTTCACACTTTATGTTTCAATATGTTCACACTTTATTTAGTTGTGGTGTCTTGAGGAAGAATTCCATTCTAGGAGACCTATATTTCACCTGCAAACTATACTTGGCATATACAAACATGTAAAGATGCATGTTAAATTGTCTTTATTTACTTGATTTTTTTTAAAGAGATGGTGATGGGAGAAAGCTAGCCTTATTTTGACCATAAAATAGAGGCGAAGGTTTTTTTTTTTATGATCCCCAAGCAACTTGATTTTATTTTAGTCCCTCGTTATCTTTGTTTTTCACTATTAGCTCACCTGTGCATCTTATTCCCTATTTTAATTATTTTTTTTTTGGTTTTTTTAAAACAATGTTAATGTCGATTCGATAAGAAAAGTATTACATAATATAAAATAAATACAAAGAAATCAGAAATATATTTCTTTGAATTTAATTTTTTTCAAAAGAACATCAACATAAAAATAAATAAAAATTGTAAAAAGAAGAAGAAGTAGGTTTAAGATGATTATAGGCCCATAACAGTGATGAGCTTGATTGTATAACCCAAGTAAAAAATGACTTAAAATATGATTAACTGTAATGGCCTTAAAAGTGGATCCTAAATTGTACTCACCCCCAATACAAACTTGACTTTAGCACCACATCCTTGATCAAAACTAGTTAAATAGCCATCATCTAAGAGCAAACAATATATATGCATTAAATACAATCATATTTCCCACTCAAGTGACACATAATAAAAAAACTCAAAAGTCAACATCAATAGTTTTCAACCTATAAATTTTAAAATAAGGATTAGCTTTTATCTCCTAAATAGTTCATAGTTATAAGTGACAAACATATTAACCACCTTATCCTTGCATGCAACACATCCATATGGGTTTAAGGCTATATAAACGATCTTAAACCCTAAAGTCAAAGACTTCATCTTTTTTCTCAAAACTCAATGCTATAATCCTTTTTCATTTGCTAAGACTTCATCTCCTTTACCAAAACTGATTTAGAAATTAGAAAATCTTATACTACATTAGAAAGTTTGTTTTATAAGGTTCCTTCTTATGATAACCCAACATACCACACTTTTTAATCCATCTTAATCTTGAAATAGTTTATAATTTTGCAAAGGTTTAGCTCAATAACACGACCAAAAGATTGATGTCTTCTCCCAAATACAGGAGTGTTGAAGTAATAAATAACCCTGCAAGATAGGGGTCGAACCACAAGGAGGTTAATTGTATAAATTATAAATAAAAATAATACAACAACAACAACAATAATAATAACAATAGTAGTAGTAGTAGTAGTAAAGAAGAAGAAGAAGTTGATGAGAACTTTGAGATGGAAGATCAATGTAAGGATTAAGCAATGATAACAACAAATGTCAAGGTTAGAGGATCCACTAATGGTATGTTAAACAAGTATAGTATAAACTCTTATTATTCAATTGGAAACCACACACAAAAGAGGTTCCAATCAGATTATA